AGGAAGGAAGGAAGGAAGGAAGGAAGGAAGAGAGGAAGGGAGGGAGGAAGGAAGGGGCCTGAGCCCAGGAGAGCATGGGTGGCCCAAGTACCTGAACCCATGGGCATCCCCAAACCCAGCCCCTGACCCCACAGCCCTCCACATACCTCCTGGTACACAGGCCAGTCCTTGGGGCTGTTGTAGCTCTCTGTCCTATTGCCATCGGTGGCGTTGCAGAAACCCGTCCTCAAAAGAAGGCCGTCATCCTTCTCGTTTTTGTCGCAAGAACAGGGGTAGGTGACATCGGTGTGATTCATGAGCGCAGCGTTCTCTGTCCAGTTATAGAAGCTCACCCAGCCACAGCACTTTCCCTGGGCAAAGAGAGGACAGGTTGCTCATGCCCACTGCCCACTCTGGCAGGCCCCCTCCTGGCAGAGGAACGGCCTCCCCGGAAAGAGGCTTAGATCTGCCACGTCCAGGCCTCCCTGGTCCCAGCCAAACCACCAGGATTTGAGTCCAGGATTCATTTTGGCTTCTGTGAGCCACAAAGGATTTAAAGGGGCTTTCAGAAAACACATATCACAAACTATTAAACAGTCGGAAGGTACAATCAGGACCAGCAAACATATAAAGCAGAATAGGAGGGAAGTGCGAGTTGAAAGACAGAACATAAGCGTGGGGGATACAAGGAGGACAGATGGCACACACAGTTACGAGTGTGGGGTCTGCAGTCAGGCTACTGGGTTCAAATCTCAGCTCTGCCACCTACCAGCTTTTCAACGTTGGTCAAAGTACTGACCTCAGTTTCCTCATCTGCAAAATGGGGTAACCAAGTTTTCTAACTCACTGGGCGGTTCTGAGGACTGTACGGGACCAGGCAGGCGGAGCCCCAGCACAGGAAAAGGCCAGCTCCACTTTTTGGTGCCAAGCATGTGCTGGAGCTGCAACTTGCCTCTGAGATTCTTGGTCGCCAAAGTAGAAAAAATACACGGTCCATTCTTCCTTTTTAGAGGAGAAAATGCTCTCGTTCCAGAAGGGAAGAAAACATCGCTGGACTCTGTGTGCCAAATGGGGCCACCGTGGGGTTCATGAAGGGGAGCCCCAGAGGCTTCCGATCACATCTGGGCTTCAGTTCCCGACAGGATGGGACTCTCAGGGGCTGGGCTCATGCTGGAAATGCCCAGTGAAGGCGGAGCAGAGTGGGGGAAGGGCTCCTTTCAAATCCCGGCCCTGCCCTGCGCATGTGTAAGCCGCTGCCCTTTTCTGAGCCTCAGTTTCCTCATCTGGAGAATGGGATCACAATTACCAGTATGTTAGGGGCCCAGGGAGGACTAAATGGGCTGCATGGGTAAGCGGCACGCCACCCGGCCCAGCACACAGTCAATTCCCAATTCCCCACCTGCTTCCCATCTCGGCGTTGTGAGTCCCTGACAAGCAGCCCAGTGGCCAGCAGGGGGCACGCAAGCATGCTCTGGCGTTCTCGGGCTTCACGTTGTACTTTTTATGTTGCAGTTGCCTGGCTGCCTCCTCTCTGGCAGAAAGGCTGGCATCTCCGAGCGGCACTCACAGGCCCTCCCACACTCAAGCAAAATGAGGCTGCTTTCCTCAGCCCCTCCACTGCACCAGGCAGAGCCCTCTTCTCCAGGGCCGCCTGGCCCGCTTCATGCCAAGGTCTGTCCCCAGTTACCACCCACCACCCATCACCCTGTGTTTTAGTGGTTGTGCAGGGCGAATAAAACATCACCGCAGGATAAGTGCTGCCTAAGTGCCATGGGCTTTCAAAGCTCATCTCACAGTAGTATGGATCAATAGCCCCATTTTATAGATGAGGAAACTGAGGCTTAGAGAACATCTGGCCAGGAAGTGGTCGAGTTAGTATCCCAGCCCCCAGGTGCCTGACTCACAGTCGGCTTTCTTAACCACCATCCCAAGCAGAGTCTGACAGACATAGAATCATCTAGAGGCCTCGCCTACCGCAGAAACCCCCCAGTCAGCCAACTACCTCCCACAGTGGGATGCTCCTCATCTCTCAAGCGACCCACCTCTCCCCCCAGCATTTGTTCATCTGAGGACATCTGTCTCCCTCCCATCTCAGCAAACGGCCTCAGGAATGGCGGCGCAAACTCAAGATGTGATGAAACAGTCTTCCTGTATGCACCAAGCCCTCTTACTGGCTTTATCTGGTCCTCACCAAAAAAAAATCTATGAGGCACGTAGGCCAGAAAAAGATCACCCTCCCTTTTTCACAGTTCAGGAAATAGATGTGCCCGTGTCTCCTGGACAGAGTCCATCTACAGTCTCCAAACTCTCCTGACGTCAGGCTTTCTCTAGCTGTCAGTCAGTGCCAGCAGGTCGTGCATGACTGTTGTGTCCACCAGCCCCACGGGACAGAGGAGGAGGCTGCAGCCCAGAGGGGGCAGGTACCAGCCAAGGGCACGGGGCATCTGGGACCACAGAAGAGGGGGCAGCCAGGACCTGATCACTGAGGTCGATTCATGTGTGTGGCAATTGGTTCACCATCAGGGTAAGCTGGGAACCCAGTCAGATGGTCATTCATTCATTTAGTCAGTCAGTCATGCATTCAGTCAGTCATTCATTCGGTCAGCCATTCAATGAATCACTCTATCATTCATTCATTCATTCATTCATCCTGTCAGTCAGTTGGAATACACATAGAGTAAAGTGCACAAATCCAACTTGATGGGTTTTTGTATATATACTGGCATAACCACCATCTGATTTGATCAAGATTTGAATAGAACATTCCTTTCACCCCAGAAGGCTCCAACTACACCTCCCCAGAGGTAGACTTCCCTCAAGCGTGTGACAGCAGATGAGCCTTGGAACCCAGTTTCTTCACCTGCAGGGTGGAGCTCCCCACACTCACCTGCCTGGCTTGAGATGAGAGGGTCGAGAGCTGACCCCACCCTCTCTGGCCACAGATGGGCACACTGTGAGCCACAGCGCCACCTCCAAGACCCTGAGCCCCCTGAGCAAGGACCTGTGGTGGTGACTGGGGTCCCAGGTAGGGGGACTGCTCAGGAGCCCCGCCCCCATCAGATACACACTCACAAACTCGCTAACATGTTCTCTCTGCCAGGCACACACAGGCACATGCGTGACCAGACCCAGACGCACAGACACACGCTGGCCAGGAACCTCACGCTGCCCTGCCCTTCCCCCACCTTACCTGAGCCTGTACATAGTCCCAGCCATCCTGCAGACTGTCCTCCTGCCCATCCTTGTAGTTCTTAATGATCTTGAGGACGATGCTGCCCATTTCCTGTTTTACCTGCAGAGGGGAGAGCAAGGACCGAGGTCGGATTTTCTGAAACCCACGCCCCACCTCTGGTCACATCTACTTCAACTGCCTCTCCCCACTCTAACCCCTGAACTTGGGGACATGCTCACGGTGCAAAAGCTTCTTGCTGCTAATTCCAACCACTTTCCTGCCACTTCCTGCTCGTCACCACACTAAGCCCAGTGCAGTCGGGGCCAACCACTGCTGCTCTGCAGTTCATTTGGCATTCAGCAGCCACATGGCCCTTTAAATGTGGATCTTTCTATGTCCCTGCTAAAAACCTCCCAGTGGCTTCCCAGCACTCTCAGGAGAAACACCGGTGTCCTCTCGATGGCCCACAGGGCCCTGCATCCTTTAGCCCCTGCTCGTCCTGGGCCTCACTGCCTCTGTTCTTGCTTCCTCCAGTTCCACTGCACAGGTCTCCTTGCTGACTTTGTGCCAGGCGCACTTCTGCTCCAGGGCCTTTGCACGCTCTATTCCATCTGCCTGGCATCCTCTTCCCCCAAATATTAACATGGCTCACTCCTTCACTTCCCCAGGGCCATGCTCAAACATCAGCTCCTTAGAAAGGCCTTCCTGGACCACCCTACAAAATACCATCCCTTTCATATCCCCTCCCCACCACCCCCTCCAGGCCCTTCTTATCCTGAAAGGGTAAGCATGCTGTATTTTCTTCACAGCATTGTCATTCCATGCTCATTCGTTTTCAGGGTTCATCATCTCTCCCCCCGCTAGAATGTCAGCTTTGTGGGAGCGGGGACTGGGTCTGGTAAAGCCTGGCCAGAGTAGGGGTGCAGCGTCCATGAATAAGGAACGTGGGCAAAGCCACTGCTCCGTGCCACACACCGGGGACGTCCTCAGGCACTCTCCCAGTTAACCCTCATGCCTGCCCCAGGGCTCCACAAAGTCTGCATTCTGACAGGCCTGCACTGAGGAAGAGAGAAGCACACCTGCTTTTCACTAACCCCACAGAGAAAAGACTGATTTACAAATAAGGCAGACATGGGGTACAGGGATCAAAAAGATTCAGCCCCAAAGGCCTTTCGCTGAAGCCCAGAATAGAGGATCTCACTACAGCAGCTTTTCAGGAACATCAGCTGTGCAAAGGGAGGCAAACCTGAAACCAGTCTAGAGAGCCGAAGGCAGGGCTCCCCTGGGGAGCAAGGATGGCCCCAGCCCTGGTCTGGCCCCAGCTGGGCTCTCGGCACACAAGCATGGACAGGCTGCTTGTGGTCACCTGCTGTCTGTCGCTGTGGAACCCCAGGGCGAGGGGCACAAGCGGGGCAGGGGCACCCAGGAGACAGCTGCACACCTGCCCCTCGGTTCCTGAGAAAGGGGACTTGCGGAGAGGGGACAGGTATTTCCAGGCAGGGGCTTTCAGAGCCTGGCTGGGAACCCTGCGCGTGGGGCTTCCGCCAGCTCCCCACAGGCAGCCCCCGCTGTGCTCAGACAACCCACATCCGCCGGATGGACCTGCAGCCCTGGCTCCGGGCCCCTCCCTTCACTGACCTGGGGAAGCCAGCTCCCCAGGATCTTGCTCTGTCCCTCTACCTTTTGATAAAACTCTTAGCATGTTGCTTTCTGTGTTACCAACACAGAGCTCCACAACTTACTAAGCTTTCCTGTCAGTCACTAACCATAACAAGAAGAGTGGCTAACTTGGATCAAATGCTTATTCTTTGTCAGCCCCGTGCTAAGCAAGCACTGGTAATGCATTAATCTCGCTTTCATCCTCAGAGCCGACCGATGGCCTAGGGATTGATCTCATTCTCTCATTTTAGAGATTTAGAAGACGAGGCTCAGAGAGGTTCATTAAGTTGTCCAACGTCACAGAGCCAACAAGGCAGGAGAGCTTGAGGTTTGGACTCAGGCTTGTCTAATTTCAGAACCCAAGTTTTTATCTGTTTAGCTCCACCAGCACTTAAACCACATGGTTTTACCTAGGTCAAGGCACTTTTAAGAAGGGCCCGGAGAAGCCAAGTGGTTTCCCCATGACACATAGCGGGGCTGCCCACATGTAGGTAGGTCTTGGCTCTTTCTGCCTCAACCTTCTCTGCTCCCCAGTGAGCGGATGATCTCTGACTGGCGGGCGGAAAGGAGGAAGTTCCCCGGAGGTATCTGCTTGGAGAATCACCTCTCCCACATCCTTCTCAGCGGCCCTCCCCCACACTAACCTAGGCTCTATTTATGCCCCAGTGTAGTTGCCACAGCAGCCCGGACTTCCCTGTTTCAAAGGCCCTCCTGCAATGAGAAGGTGATGGAAACTGTGTGCTTTCCATTGAGGCTGGGTGGTTTCCATTGAAACACCATAGCATCCTCCATCCCAGAATGTGGCTAAAGGGATACAGCAGGGCCACAGGGACCATGACTGCAGGGGCTGGTTTAGCTTGCAGCTGATGCCTTGGATCCCAATACCCAGGAGGCTGTGTTGGGAGCCCAGGGATGTCGCCCTGGTAACCAGGCTGTTCCTGAGACAAGGAGGTGCAGGGAGGAAGAGCGAGACGATGCTCACCACCTCATTTCATCCGTGCAGGGGCCACCTCTGTGGTTTCCAATTGCCCGGCACCCATCCTCCCTTCCTCTTGAGATAACAGTTCCTTTCCTTAGCAATCAGCACTCCTCAATCTCTCCATGTGGCTGGAAACTCTGCCCCCTCATTGTAGTGGGCAAGCAAAGACCCAGGCTGCCACTTAAGGCCTTCCATACCGTGGGTACAGTGAGTGGTTCAGGGATGAGTACATGCCCCAAGGTCACACACATGGGCCCTCTCTTTCGGTTAATCTGGTGGGAGGAGGGCCTGCACTGCTGGTGGCCACCTTGGGCTCCACTGGGGACAGCCCGCCCAAGAAGGGAGCCAATGGAGGAGAGCAGGGCCAAGGATGGAGAGGGACAGGGGCCTGGCGGCAGCCTTAGGAAGCCTGGATCCAGCCAAGCCTGTAGCCAGCCTGGCTACTTTCAGTTGGGTTAGTGCCCAGGACCAACTGTGTTATTTACAGCCCCATGCAAAGTGAAATGCAGGGCCTTTCTTTATAAATGATTAAGAATGTCAAGACAGCAGCAGCAGAGCCTCAAACCAAGCACAGGACCCCTCTAAGTGTGGGACCCTGTGTGACCGCTGAGGTCACATGCCTAAGAAGCCAACCCTGGTCCTGCCCAATATCACCCTCCCCACTTCCCAGAAGAGAAAACGGAGGCCCAGAGTCAGAACAACTTCTCAAGATCACATAGCCAGCAAGCAGCAGAGATATGATCATAACCCTGACACTTGAAGCTCCAGAACCCCGAGATCTCAACCATGACAAGTCACCCACTATCTCCACCTGACCCAAGATCCCGCCATCTTCCATGGTAACTCTCCCCTCCTCTCGCCAATGCTGTGCCTTTATTTCACCTTGAGGGTGACTTTTCACAGACAGGTACAATTAGAAGAGAACTTTGAGCCCAGCATATCATCCAGTGTGAGAATCCTCCCCATATTTTTCCAGGTTCTGCTTAAATGCTCCATGTGATGGGGAACTCAGTACCTCACAAAATAGCATATTACACAGTGGGGGCGGGGGGCTCTTGATACAAGCAATTCCTTTTAAGTTGAGCCCAAATGACTTTCGCCTATTTGTGTTAGTTCTTATCCTCCCCTTGCCCCACAAATCCCAACTGAGACCATACAGACCAAATCAAATCGTTCTCTTCCAGGATAAATATCATTCAGATTATTTGAGACCAGACCACATATCCCTTTACCCACTCCTTTCCAGGGGAAGTTGCCAGGCTCCTTTGACCACCCCTTGAGATAGTGTCCAGACCTCACTCCATGCTCTTTACTCTAATGTGTCAAATTCCCTTAGAATGAGATGCCCCAGATGCAGTGTAGTGGACCGAATCTTCCTGTCCGCTCCCCGGGGTTCCCACCGGCCATGTTGCCAAATGCTTTGAGGTTTAATTCTGGTATCCTGATAGGAGATGAGGAGGACCCTTTGCAATGCTGAATGTGGAGGGGGTGGCATATTTACCCTTCGTGACCACCCAAGTCTTTCCTGAAAGTCCGGCTGCCATCCATATAACTGGCTACCCAGAGTTCAGCAGGAGGCCACATCATGTCTCCCCAGCCACCCAGTAAAGCTCCTGAGGGCGGGACCTGTACTTGGAGCCACCCAAGCAGCCCAGCACCCAGCAGGTGCTTACAAGCCTTTGTCCCATTTCTCTCCTGGATGCCTTCTTCTCCCTTCCCAAAAGGAAAGAGAAAGGTCACCTCTCCCTGTCCTGGTTCCAGCTGCCTCTAAGCCAGTGGATCAGGAAGTTTCCATCTCAGCGAGCAAACATCTCACAGAGCTGCCCTGTCCTCGAGGAACCTGTTTTGCCACTTGTACCTTAGGGCGAGTGCACAGTGCCTGTTTTGGGCTTCTCAGATGGGAGACAGAAGGAGAAAAAGAGGCACAGTTATGACCACCCTCTCTGGGGAGCACAGGGCAGCCAGCCGGTGCAGCCATTGTCACCACCCCCCACGCAGCTCATGCGAGCCCCTTCCTCTCCAAGCTCTCAGCCCCCAGGCTTTCTTCTCGTATCCCTGATATAACCTCTCAGAGCCTCAGCAACCTCGCCTGTGCAGGCTGTAGGGAGGATCATCGGTGTGGCCTGCGAGAGTGCAGCAAACCCAGTGCTCAGCACACCATAGGGAGCAGTTATCAGCTGACTTCCTTCCTCCTGACCCTCCACTGNGCCCGCCATTTGCTCGCAGGGAGGCTGCCTTGGCACGTACTGGGTTTGTCTGCGGCAACTGAGAGGTTTCTTGCTCATCCTCCTCCCCCAGGCCAAAGCCCCACGTGGCTGGTCCAGCACAGGTAGGGAGGGCGAGGGGGAGGGAGGGAGTGCTTACCTTGTCCATGTTGAAGTAGAAGAGGGCGCCAGCAGCCACCTGGGCGATGAGGATCAGGAGGAGGAAGGCAAAGTACTGGGGACACAGAGCAGGCAGAGTCAGCCAGGGGTCCCCCATCAGGTCCTCCTCACCTCAGATGCTCCCCACCCAGTCTGAGCGGGCAGGGGCGGAGGGCCTACTCACCAGCCCCAGCAGGCAGCGGACCTCATTCACGGCGCCGATGCAGCCCAGGAAGCCCATGAGCATGGTGACAGCCCCCACGCCGATGAAGACATAGGCCCCCACAGTGACGGAGCTGGAGGAGGTCTCTGGGGAAGGAAAGAAGGGTGTTCGATCCAGCCTGGCTGTCTCACTCTCAATAAAGGACAAAATCAGGGGCAGGGCCCAAAGGTCCAGGACTGCTCCCAAAAGCCCTCCGTGGAGTCAGGGTGCTAGGGTCAGCCCCCCAGCAAGGAACCTGCTCCTCACCCCCTTTGGAAGCTGCCTCCCCTGGATGTGCCTCCCCCTGCAATCTATTCTAACCCCCGCCCCTGCTTTAGTTTGTCTCCTCAGCACTGACTGGAATTGAAAAGACTCTACATCTCACTCATGTGTTTTGCTTGTTGTCTGCACCCCACAAGAACGTGAGCGCCAGGAGGGCAGGGGTGTGGGTTTGCTAAGCCCCCAGCCCCATGAGCAGTGTCGGGCACAGCAAAGTACTGCGTGAATAGCTGCTGAATTAACAAACCGCAGACTAGCGGGTTCTGCTGGGGCCACAGACATCACAGGCCTGCCTTCCTCCTCATCCAGACAATAATAAGCACCAGGCTCTCTTGCCCACTCATTGTGTCCCGGGGGCTTCACACACCATCTCCTGCTCTGACATAACTCTGCCTGGTAGGCACTAGCACGGCCATTTCACAGATGAGGACACTGAGGCTCAGAGGGACGCAC